TGCATAATGATATGATTTAGAGCTACAAGTGCTATACTTCCTCTTCAAAACATAAATGAATCAATATGTGAAGTGCTTTGCAAACCTTAAAATACCTTGTATCATCTTGTACCAGTATCATCACCATTATCATTATTATCATCATAATTACTTGATACAGAATATACATGTAATATACATACAGAATATACATGGGATGCCTGAGGTAGGGTCTATAATGTCACCATTGCATGGGGTCTGGGTCATGTACTCACTTTGACAGGCCAGGGTTCTTACAGAAGTAGTCTCTCTTCTTCTGTTGTGGGGAATACACTCCTACTTACCACTATAGCTCTTGAGCCCTCACCAATGCACTTCCATTTACACATAACCAGCCAATCATAATAATGACACCACTGTTCAGCTAAGCTAGCTTTTCTCAGGTTACATTGTCTTTATAGGATGGTCTGCTCAGTGAGACTTTCTCCTCATAGGATGTAATGTTTCTTTCTCTCTGGCTGGCTTGATTGGGTCATTTAGTGATTATGCTGGTTCCTCATTAAGTTCAGCTACTGTACTGGGCTGCGTAGGTGGCACTGCCTCTGGGCAAGACTTATAAGACTTGCTGCTTTTGGACAGTGGCTAAAGGACAGAGCTGGGCAGACCATTCTGCAATGAGTAACTATTACCAGGCTGGGAAAGGCGGGTTGTTCAGGGCATAGTAACTCTGCTAGATGAGTTGATATGCTGTACTTCCTAGGTTTGCTTTTTGATGAATAACTGCAGTCATTTTCACTTTCATCCAATGGCATGGCATGGCATGGTACTGCACTCTCTTCCTCTGGGATGTAGGGTGTTCTTTATTGCTAGATTTCTACAGAGCTCTTTCAGCTAGAGCAACAACCCGTAATTTAGGATTGGCAAAAGCTTTTCCCTTTTGCTTCCCTAAGAGCCTAAGCTCTAAAGTTGTTTATCATCTTCAGGAAGGAAATAAGAGTTTATTTCTGTTCTACAATCCTTCCTGACTCAAAAGCCCATTCCCTCAAGCAGCTACTCCATGTTGCCCTAGAGTGGTCAGTTTCAATTCACTCAGTTCCACATCCCATGTTCCTTTGGAAATCTTATATAAATGAAGGCTTGAGACAAAGATAAGAATATAGTCTATACCTTGGAGGAAAATTTGTTACCTTGCTGGCCTCTTCATATGTAATTGAGTTATTCAAGACCCTTTATGGGATAATAAATGTCTACTTTGCTTCCACAGGTGAAATTTCCCCTTAACACTTCATGATCACTCTTTTTTAGCCCCTGCAGACCTTCAAGTTTTGCTGAAGTCTCACCAAGACACCTTCTCTTATGTGTAGAATCCCGAAAAGGAAAATCATAAAGCATCTCTATAAAGCCTTTGATTCCTCATTTACCTGGGAAAATTTCTATCCATATCATGTGGTATGTATTTTTTAAGTATTAACTTTCCCTTGTTTTTAGCTTTTACCCCTAAAACCAGCTGAGAAGATACCTCCCTCTTTCCCCAATAATAACATCACAAATAATGTGTCCATCTGGGCCTAGCTGTCCCCAAGCACCTAGTATCATAGATAAGACTCTCCATGTCCCTCTTGTTAGCTACCCATGAGGAAATCAAGTTCACTCTCATCCTCCTCAAACTATTACTATGATGAGAGAAGTCAAGGTACTCTCTACTAATCACATCTCTAACACTCAAAGACTGGACTTCTCCTCTTAAAAAGGGGAAGGGTAGAAAACTGTTTTTGGAGCTGCCATGTCACTCTCCCTATGCAGATGTGGATTTTGAGGACTGTAGTAGTATCCCATTCCCAATTCCAGGCTTCCTGAGGCCTTGGTTGGTTGTAGAGATTATCCTTTGATAAATTCATTTGGAAATATATATGCTGAATAGGCCTTTTCCTTATGTGGATGCTGATTTCCTTAGTGTGGATGCTGAGCTGTTAATCAACCAGTCAATCAATAACCATTTATTAAGTGCCTACTGTGTGTCAAGCACTATGCTTAGCAATAGGGATACAAAAAAGAGGGAGCCCTCAAGGAACTCACAATGTAATGGGGGAGACAACAAGCAAGCAACTATGCACAAACAAGATACATACAAGAAAAATAGGAAATAATTAAGAGAGGGAAGGCACTCGAATTAAGAGGGGTTGGAACCAGTTCTGAATCCAACTCACTGTACTGTTACCAGTTATCCCACATCTTTCTTGTCCATGGGGATAGTCTGAGAGACTTTGTCAAATTCTGTGCTAACATCCAAGGATACTATATCTATGTCATTCCTCTGATTTATTGGTCTAATAACCCTATTAAAACGGGAGTGAGTTCACTCTGGCACAGCCAATTCTTAATGAATTTGTGTTCTAATCAGGGCTTCCTATTTATCTAGGTCTGAGAACTATATTTTGGAGGAACATTGACAAATGGGAGAGTGTTCAGGGAAGATCAGGAGTAGAAAAAAATCAGAAAATAAGTGAAGGAATTGGGAATGTTTGGCCTGGAGAAGAGAAGGCTTAGGAACAGAGGGCTTGGATGACAGAGGTGTCATCAAGTATTTGACTGTCCCATAGAAGAAGACAAGCCTTTTTTTACTGGGCTATAGGAAGCAGAACTAATTGGAATTACATGTAGATAGATTTCAGCTCAACAGGAGGGTAATATGGGAGTCTGTATAGTATAGTGGAAAGGGCTCAGATTTTGTTCTCAGAGATCCTTGGTTGTAATTTTAGCCCCTACCACTTGTTAACCTGTGTGGCTTTGGGCAGTCAATTAATTCTCTAGGCCTAGGACGGAACAGTGGGCATCACCTATATTTAGCATCTGCATGATGTGGTTGGTGAGTCAACAAAGGAGATGGAAAAGGAACTGTCAGACTAAGGATTATTAAGCTTTTGGTGGGGATCCATCATTTGTGTGGCTGTCGCTCCAGACTGCCCCAGTGTAAGTAACCCATTATGATCATTACACTTCTCTTATATAAATCATACTGGAGCTCTTGGCATCTTTCTTTGGTATCAACTTTGCCCCACTGTTTGGGGGAGGTACAGAGTTCCCTAGGTGGGGGTAATTCTGGATCCTACAGAAGGCAATTCTTTTGTTTCAGAGAAGACAACCACTCATAAGAGGAGGAGCCCAAGTTCCTGGCCTAGTTTGCCATAAGGAATAGACTTTGAGGTAGACAGTGTAGAACAGAGGTGAAATGTAAAATGTCTACTTTGGTAGTCCTGCAAATTGCTTCAATATTTAGATAAAGTTTAAGTATCAGCCTCCAGGAGATTTTAACATTAGTTTTAAGTTGTTTCTGAATCCTGTGTTAAGTCGTTCTGTTCACATATTGCACGTTCTTTGGCATTTCTTTTGTGTGTAGGAAATGAAAGAAAATGTAGGACATTTCCTCCATATATCTGATTCATATTGTACACTGAGTACCTTTCTACTCCATTTCCATCCCCTCTTTGATGAGAATCAAAATCTAAGGTTACATAATTTATCTTTGGGGCACTGGGATAGGGAAGAAAAACTCGAGGTCAAGTCTGTGATCTTTACCATATTGCTTTAGGCAGCTCTCTAATATTATTAGGGGAGTTGTCTGTATCGATGAAACCTCAAGTCCAGTCCTTATCCCTTTTGAACTTAGGAAGTTCAGGAACCTCAAGAAAAATGATGGAAAGCATTTTGGGGAGGGGCAGCAGAGGCAAGTAACAAATGGTAGAAGCATTTAGGTGGCTCATTTGGATGGAGTGAAAGACAGAATCAGGAACTAGAGCTTAGCTTAAATCCAGCCCATGTCCAAGTCACCTAATCTCTATCTGCCTTAATTTGCTTATCTGTAAAATAGGTATCATAATTGCACCTACTTCCCAGGGTTGTTGGGAGGAGAAAATGAGATAATATATTTGTTTAGTCTACATTATTAACATTTTCTGAATCGCTTTAAGTATGGAGAACAAACCAAACAAGGCCTGAATGGTAGCATTTTCGGATTCCAAGGTGTAAATGTTCACAAAGGAAATTTAACAACCGGCTCTCGCGAGCCGGTGGGAGATGACTGCGGCATAGCCCTGCACTCTATAGAGGCTAGTTGTTACCGATGTCATTTTGGATAGACATCTCTAGTGATGTGCCACAGCAACACGGAACAAGTAGAAAACCCCTGGTGGGGTGCATCGTAGTGGTAATTCTCTTTGGGGCGTAAGTCGGACCAGATGGCCACGAAGGTCCCTTCCGACTCTGAAACTCTGATTCTGGCATTCTGATGACTCTCAGCAGTGTTCCCCCCAGGTTCGGGGAGCTGTCCCTTTAAGCCGGGTCGCATCGGCGGGGGTGGGGGGGGGGGTAGAGCAGGTTCCGGGAGCGCGCATGCTCAGTGACCTCTGTCTCGGCTGCGGTGTGGCCTGGGCCTGGGACCTGCTCTGCCTGGACTCCTACTCTGCCTGGCCTCCTGCTCTGCCTGGACTCCTCCGCTGCGCCCACCTGCCCCGCAGTGAGCTGTGGCTCCGCACCGCCCTGGTCTTCAGGCCACACCAGGCCAGGGGAGGCCGGGCGGCCTGGTGCCTGAGTCGCCACCTCTCCCGCCTCTTCCTTGCCCCCCCTAGGGTCGAGGCTTTGTTGCCAGGGGCAACCCCGATGGCAGGGCAGCGGGTGGAGATCGATGGCGGCATCATGGAGGGGGTGAGTGAGCGCGCGGCCCGGGTCCCGGGGCCTGCCCGGGTCCCGGGGCCTACCCGTGCCCCTTCGCTCTCCCTTTCCTTCTCTTCCGCCTTCCCCTTCCTCCTCCCCCCTCCCTTCCCGCCTAGACTCTGAGCCGGTCTCCCTCGTCTCTCTGCCAGGGCGGCCAGATCCTGCGCGTGTCCACGGCCCTGAGCTGCCTGCTGGGCCTTCCCCTGCGGGTGCAGAAGATCCGGGCAGGCCGCAGCACTCCGGGCCTCAGGTACAGCCGAACGCTCCCCAGGGAGCTGCGGGGCGGGGCGGGGCGGCCTTTCTCTGGACTCCTTTCCCAGGCATCCCCGCGGACGCGTGGGTCAGGGTCCATCAGCCCCGGAGAATTTTGGGGCTGGGCCCTCTGCTTGCTAATCTCGGGGAGCATTCTCCTTTGACAGCCTAATCTGTTCAGGTCCTCATCTGTAAAACGGGCTGGAGAAGGAGATGGCAAACCACTCCAGTACCTTTGCTGAGAAAACCCCAAATGGGGTCACGGAGAATCCAACACGACTGAACAACAAAAGGCCTGTGTGAGCGTTTGTACCCCGTTGTACGGCCGTGGGTCCCAGCCACCTCGGAGTGTCGGAGATTTGCAGCTGGAAGGGACCCGTAGAAGCCACCTCGTCCAATCCCTTCATTTTACTGTGAGGAAACGGAGGTCCAGGGAGGTAGTAAGGGAAAAGGCAAGTTTTGAGCCCATGTCCTCAGGCTTTAAACCACCACCCGGCTCAGGTAAAGTAGAGACCTCCCCAGGGTGCAGCAGTTCAGGACCACAGGCTGAGCAAAGGGATGCCTGGGCAACTGCCCCCTGGCCTCCTTCCTACCTCTTATGGAAAGGGGTTTTTGCAGACACAAGGAGCATTACTTCATTAGGCATTCCATGCTGCTCAGATTGACTCGTTTTTAAACTTTAGTATAGTTGGGTCAATATAGAGTTTTCTTGCTTTAGGGAAAACACAGCAAAGGCATTCTCTTTTATCCATTTCACTGGCTGCTATCCTTCATTTTAAATTTGTGGAGCTGGGTAGAACCTTTATAGATTGTCTCCATCCTACAGCTCTCCTGAAAAAAAACGTTTTTTTCCTTCATTTAGAACTTGAAGAAGGTAACTATTCTTTACTGTCTAAAGCATTTCTGAAGGAAGTTTGGAAAAACCAAAATGATTTTCATTTACTACAATGAGTTTTGACTATTCAGAGTCTCCTAACCTTGAGCGTCCTCAGGTTCTGCCCTGATCCCTCTTTATTTTTCTCTCAACATCCTCTCTGGGTGATCTCTTCACCTCCCATGGGTTCAGTTATCATTTCTTTGTAGAGCTGTATATCTAGCCTTAGTCTAACTCACAAGCTCCAGTCCTGCATCCTGAACTGCAATTGAACATTTCCAATTCTCTGTTACATACAGGCCTCAAGAGCAACAAACCTGAAAGAAATTATTCCCCCCCCCAACCCCTACTCTAAACTTTTGTAGATGGGACTACCATTCTGCTAGTCTCCCAGGTTTTGCAGCCTTAGAGTCATACTTGACTCTTCCTTCCATCTCATCATTCAGTGAGTCGATGAGTCAGCATCCATCTCCTTCTGTCCACTTTCAGTCACTACCCAAGTTCGAATCCTCTTTAGTTCTTGGTTGCTCTATCACATTAGCCTCCTAATTGGGATTCTCGGTTTTCAGTCTCTTCCCTTTCCAAAATAATCTTCCTAAAGCACAAATCTGATCACGTCACTTCATGGTTTGAGATCCCTCAATGGCTTCCTCCTTATTGGTTCTAGGAAAAAAAGATAACCTCTTCACATTCTGACACCATTCCACTCTTCCTGGTTTATTGTATAATCTCTCTCTTATATATACACTGTCTTTTAGCTAAATTAGCGTCCCGTTACCTGAGGTCAGCGTTCTGCCTCCTGCTTTGTGCTTTGGCAGAGTCTGGCCCCTCATATCTAGAATGGATTCCCTCCTCACCTGTGCCTCTTCCCTAGTATCCTTTAGGAGTGTTATCTCCTATGAGATAGAACTACACTTCATTTTGTATTTCCCAGTGCCTTTCTTATAGTAGATGCTTTGCAAATGCTTGTTGTATTGGACTAGATTTGACAACCAAGGTTTACTGTGACTGAAAATGATGTTGAATCAATTAATTTTCTTCTTTGGTTGTTTGTGATTCAGAAGAAAGAAATAAGAAACACATTACTCTCTTGACAAATCTGCTATTCTGGTTTTCTTGCTGCCTATCAGAAGTCACTCGAGTAAGTACACACTCATAAAATTGAGTTACCCCAAGAGGTAATAGAGCCTTCATCAAATAATCATAGGATTGTCCAGACATTTTTATAGCTTGATATATGTACATCTCAGATGTCATGATGAGATATTTTAACACTGCCCTCTTAATACATCAACAAGCATTTGTTATGCTTATAATATGTGCCATGCACTATGCTGAGAGCTGGGGATTCAAAGAAAGCCCTTGAGGAGGTCATATTCTAATGGAGGAGACAATATGGAGAAAAAATTATATACTTGAGATATATATACATACATATACATAGTAAATGGAAGATAAGCTCAGAGGGAAGACATGAACAATATTAATACCTTTGATTCTCTTTACCCTATCAACCTGCCATGGTTACTACAGCTATTGCCTAACCCTGGATTTTTCCTGCCATCTGATATTTTATTTCCTTTTCTTCTCCAAGACTATAGTATATTATTAGAGAAAAGCATAGAACCGTGCAAACTTTATCCTCTACACATTTGTGTTCTGTAACTTCTGCTGCACACATGTCCAGAATATCATGACTACCCTCTTTGCTGGGCTAATGTGCTCCATCCTGAGGACCATATCTTTTTTTTTTTTTAATTAATTTATTTTGATTTCTCAATAATCACTTAAATATGCTTTTGAGTTTAAAATTTTTCTCCCCCTTCCTCCCTACCACCCTCCCCAAGACGGCTCACAACCTGATATAGGCTATACAAATACATTCCCATTAAACATATTTTCACATTAGTGATGTTGTAAATAAGAATTAGAACCAATAGGAGGAATGACCAGAAAGAGGAAACAAAACTCAACAGAAGAAAAAAAATAGCAAATAGTGTGCTTTAATCTGCATTCAAAATACATAGTTTTTTCTTTTGATGTGGATAGCATTTTCCATCACAAGGCCTTTGGAAATGTCTTAGATCCTTGTATTGCTGGGAAGGGGTAAGTTTATCAATATTAGTCATCGAACAACGTGGCTGTCATTGTTGACAACGTTCTCCTGGGTCTGCTCACTTCACCCAGCATCAGACTATACAACTCCAGGTTTTTCTGAAGTCAGCCTGTTCATCATTTCTTATAGCACAATAGTATTCCATTACATTCATATACCACAACTTGTTCAGCCATTCCCCAATTGATGGGCATCCTCTGAATTTCCAATTCTTTGCCTCCACAAAAAGAGCTGCTATAAATATTTTTGTACATGTGGGTCCTTTTCCCATTAGTATGATCTCCTTGGGATATAGCTGTAGAAGTGCTATTGCTGGGTCAAAGGGTATGCACATTTTTATAGCCCTTTGGGCATAGTTTGAAATTGCTCTCCAAAATGGGTGGATCATTTTACAACTCCATCAACAATGCATTAGTGTTTCAATTTCCCCACATCTTCTCCAGCATTTATCATTTCCTTGTTTTGTCATCTTGGCCAATCTGATAGGTGTGATGTGGTACTTCAGAGCTGTTTTGATTTGCATTTCTCTAATCAATAGTGATTTAGAGCATTTTTTCATATGACTATAGATGGCTTTAATCTCTTCATCTGAGAACTGCCTGTTCATGTCCTTTCATTATTTATCAATTGGGGAATGACTTGTATTCTTATAAATTTGACTTAATTCTCTATATATTTTAGAAATGAGGCCTTTATCAGAGAGACTGGTGGTAAAAATTCTTTCCCAATTTTCTACTTTCCTTCTAATCTTAGTTGCATTGGCTTTGTTTGTGCAAAAACTTTTCAATTTAATGTAAACAAAGTTATCCATTTTGCTTTTCGTAATGTTCTCTATCTTCTGTTTGGTCTTGAATTCTTCTGTTCTCCATAAATCTGATAGGTAAATTATTCCTTGCTCTCCCAGTTTGCTTACAGTATCAGCCTTTATATCTAAATCATGAACCCATTTTTACTTTATTTTGGTATATGATGTGAGATTTTGATCAATGCCTGGTTTTTGCCATTCTCTTTTCCAGTTTTCCCAACAGTTTTTTTTCAAAGAGTGGGTTCTTATCCCAGAAGCTGGGGTCTTTGGGTTTATCAAATAATAGATTACTATAGTCATTGACTACTGTGTCTTGCATACTTAACCTATTTCACTGATCAGCCACTCTATTTCTTAGCCACTCAGGACCATTTCTTAAGAGATACCGCCCAAGCTGGGGCATAATGGAAGAGGGTGACCAGAATAGTGAAGGAGACTTGAAACCATTGATGGAACTGTGCGTATTTATCCTAGAAATGATTTTAGGGGGAGGGAGTAGTTGTCTTCAAGTATTTAGAATTGAAATTTTCTTAATTCTGATCCAGAGGGCAGAACTAGAACAAGTAGGTGAAAGTTACTGGGAGTTAGATTTCAGTTCACTATAAGAAGGAACTTCCTTATAATGCGTTGTTACTCATTGCAACATTGTAATGAGCTGCTTTTGAGACACTGACTACTCCATCACTGGAGACGTTCAGGTGAAGATTGGATGGCCAATTGTCAGGGATCTTGTAGTATGGAATCATACATCAATAATAAAACTGGTTAAAATTTATATAGTACTGTAAGATTTGTAGAAAGCTTTACTTTATTTGATCCTCACAACAACCCAGTGAGGTAGATACTTTTATTATCCCTGTCTTACAGTTGAGGAAACCTCGACTGAGAGGTTAAGTGATTTGCCCAGCTAGTAATTGTTGGAGGCAAGGCTTGAACTCAGGTTTTTCTGACTCCAAGTACATCACTCTGTCCGCTATTTCACCAGCCTTCATTGGGTAGGATGATGAAATAGGTAACTTGTGAGGTCCCTTCTGATTCCCAGAGTCTAAAAAGAGTTTTTGTTGGGGATCAGCAAGAAGTGAATAACAGTATGTCAAGTAACACTGGGTGACTCAGAATTTTGAAAGGGACAGTAGAAGTCAACTAAGGGGACCTTCTGCTGCATGTCAGAATCCCTTCTAAGAGGTATCAGCTAACCTCTGCTTAAACACCTGTTATCATCAGAACTCACTGCCTCATGAAGTAATCTGTTAAATTTTTGAAGGAGCTTGTTCTTAGAAAGTTCTTCCTTTAGATTGAGTAGAAATTTGCTTAGCTGTGCCTTCAGTTAACTGGCTCTAATTTTGTTCTTTGAAGCTACATATAGAATAATTATCATTCCTCTTCTAAATGATAGACCTTTAAAATTAGAAAATAAGAAGCATGTCTTTTAAATTGTCTCTTCTTTCAGTTATCAAAACCCCATGGCCTTCTCAGGCCTTCTGCTCCTTGATCACCCTAGAACATTTGACCACCTCTCTTGACATAGGGGAAATGAGGTACTTCTCTGATTGTACTTCATCCTTCCCTTCTTTTGTCTTCAATTCTGGATGTATTCCAGGTTTCAGTTCTTAGCTTTTTTTTTTTAATTGCCATTTAGCATAGAAACATTGATATCATCTTAAACACTTCTTTCCTTCTCTTTCTGCACATCAGATAGTCGCTAAATTGGCAGTCACTCAAATGTACTTTCCATTCCCATGGTTGCCACCCTAATTTAAGCCCATATTACCCCTCACCTGGATTGTTATAATAGACTCCTAATCTTTTCTCAACTTTCAACTTCTCCTCCAATCATCCCACATATTGCTGCCATGTTAATCTTTCTAAAGCACAATTCTGATCATCTAAGTCCCTCGCTCAAAACTTTTTAATTACTCTTAACTGCTTATCAGGTAACATTTTGCTTCTACTTCTTCCACAACAATTATTATTGTTCACTTTTGTCTTATAGTTATTTGTATATACATCTTGTGTTCTTTATTAGGCCAAAGCCCTTTGACAAAAAGGATCATGCCCTATTTGTTTTTCTATTCACTGACTGCCCCAAATTATGCTTTGAACAAAGTTAAATTTCATTTATTTATTTATTTATTTTTAATTTTGGGCTAGGCAATGGGGTTAAGTGACTTGCCCGGGGTCACAAAGCTAGTAAGTGTCATGTGTCTGAGGCCAGATTTGAACTGAGGTCCTCCTGACTCCAAGGCTGGTGCTCTATCCACTGTGCCACCTAGTTGCCCCAACAAAGTTAAATCGATCATCTATCATTCAACATCCTACACATTCTTCAAGGCCAAGCTCAGATGTTTTTTTCATGAAACCTCCTCAACCAGAAATGATCATTCTTTCCTTGAGTAGTATCCTATATCTTTTGTTTATGTCTTCTTCAGGCACTTATGCTATATTGTATTATAGTTATTTTCATGCATGTTTATGTCCAGTAAATTATAAGCTGCTTGAAGGAAGCTGCTTCTTGGTCATATCAGATTGGATATATCAAGGACAAGGACCTTGCCTTTTATTTCTCCAGGACACTTTCTATGTAGTAATCACTTATATATTTGTTAAATAAGTGAGCACAAATGGAATTTAAGTATATCTTTGTGTATGTGTGGGGCAGCTAGGTAGTGCAGTGGATAGAGTGCCAGGCCTGGAAAACTCATCTTCTTGAGTTCAAATCTGGCCTCTGACACTTAATATCTGTGTGACCTTGGGCAAGTGACTTAATCTTGTTTGCCTCAGTTTTCTCATCTGTAAAATGAGCTGAAGAAGGAAATAACAAACAACTCCATTGTCTTTACCAAGAAAATCTCAAATGGGGTCACAGAGTTGGACATGACTGAAACGACCAAACGACAATTGTATATGTGTGTGTGAATTCACAATTAAGTTACCCATTTGAGGACAAAGGACCGATACTTAAAGTTTTTGATTTGGTATTATTTCAGGTTTTGTTTTGTTTTTTAATGGGTTCCCTCACAATGTTAAAAGAAAATTTTTAAAAATGACCTTGTTATTTTGAATGAACCCTGTCACAAACTTATGAGATGGCATGGGCATAAGTAGCAGAAGACAGGCAGGTACTGTTCTACAATCTGCATCATTGGAAGGAATGCTCATATTCAGATTACAAATTCATTTAAGTATTTGAATTATAATATCAGCATATTCAGTAGAATTAGTTGATTTTTTTTATTATTGAATTGTTTTTAGCTTACATTTGAACAATTTTTATCTTATGCCTCCAGCAAAATAGTTTTTGAATTACCATATGAAGTAAAAATACTATATCTGGGAAACAAAAATGGGCATATAGCTCTTAACCTAACCTTTCTTTGGAAAAACCGTATTAAAAAATTATGCCTTACTTTATGTCCAGAAAGGCATCTCAGAAGTTTCAAAGCTAGAGCAAACAGAATTTTGTTGTTCCCTATATCATTTAAAGCTGGAAGAAACCTCAGCTGTCCTCTAGTTCATTAAATCTGAGAAATTGTTACATGGGGAGTAAGTAATAGAACCAGAATTCAAATAGAAGTCCTCTGTCTCTAAATCCGCTGTTCCTTCCACTATACCACACTGCTATTTTTAGGGGAGTTTCTTAGTGTTATGTTTCTGTAGCTCCTAGCTAAGTGATCTAAAGTTCCTTAATGTTAACCTCCTAGCTGATTCTTCTTTTTATGACATGCACTATCCTATGATAGGTACTTCCTGTACTTTCATGCCCTTGTTTTACGTTAAATCTTTTAGAACCTATGTTCTTCATGTTTGTCTGTACCATGCCATTCTCTTTCCACTGAAGTATGAAGAAATATTATGTATACACTGAAATGCCTTTGCTCTAGTAGCAAAGTGTATCTGTAAGAAAAGCAATATTATTTTTATCCTTTGTTACATATACCAGCTAGAAAAGGGATAGAGTGGAAGCCTATTATACTGTACTGGAGAACTCAGCCCAACTGATTTAATTCTAAATGATTTATCGTGTCCTAGCTACCTTTTAATGAGCCCACTGAAGAGTTAATAGTTGTAAGGCAAGATTTTAAAATTTTTCATTGTCTAATCCGTTTAAAATTCTTAAAAGATGTTTGTGTGTGGTTGAATCTAATTCACTTTGCATGTGGACAATAGGTATTTCTAATTGATTAAGGCTGGTGTTAATGCACATGGATAATTCACTGAATTGGAAAGGAGTCTAATTGGACTTTAAACATTTTTGGTAGTTTGATTTATAGAATGGTGGGATTTCTTTGGACCCTATTTGCAACACTATCGAGCAACACTGGTAGAGTTTTTTAAGTATTAATTTTAAAACAACTTCAGTTAAAGCAGTCTTCCCAGTTATATACTGCTATTACTTAAAAAAGGTTTCATCTGACTGGATAAATGAAGACAGAAGGTAAGACTTCTAAAGCATAATGAGTTATAAGTATAAGAAATTTCTGCCATTAAGTTGGGTATTATCATTTCACTATCATTAAAGTTTCATAAATGTTTGAAATAATATGGGTATATAGGCAGTCTGAATGCACACGTTTTGATGCAGTATTATGACCTGAAGGCCTCAACACCTCTCTGGATTGGAAATGATTCGAGATTTATGTGATGGGCAACTAGAAGGGGCAGAAATCGGCTCAACAGAAATAACATTTACACCAGAGAAGATCAAAGGTGGAACCCACACAGCAGATACCAAGACGGCTGGGTAGGTCTTTGCACCTATTTGAGATCTGAGAAGTAACCATTTATTAGTTCCATTTGAAAAACCAAGCAATGTCAAATGTAAGGTCATTGGTTCCACTAAATTGTTTTCTTATTTAACTTTGATATCTTTTTTCTTTCTTTAGTAAAGGTAACTTAAGATTTGAAGATGTATTATAACTGTATACACATGAGTAAAACGATGTCATTGACTTATATAACACAGGACAGTGTTTGAAATTCAGTAGTTATTCTGAACACCAGTGCTCTTGGGTAAAAGTCCCCCAATACCCAGTATATAGAGTTCCAGAGCTGTCAGTCACTTTAGCAATCATCCAGGTCAGCCTTTCGATCTTATAAATGATGAAACCAAAGTCAAAGTAATAAACTGACTTGACCAGAGTCACATAGCTAGTTTGTGGCAGACCTAGGTCTAGATCCCAGGTCCCTTGATTCCTAGGTCAGTATTTTCATATCACATGTTCTGCCCCATTATTCACTGAGTTATTCTGCGTATTTCATCTGTCCTCACATGCCCCCAGATCTTTGCCTCCCAAATTCTCTTCTCCTGTGCCACCTTATAGTAGAAAAAGTATTCAATTTGTACTCATCCTGGCTCTGCTAGTTACTAATTATGCCACTGTAGTCAAGTTAGGTTATGTCTCTGAATGTTAGTTTTCTGAGGATGATAATATTTGGACAGTATATCTTACAAAATTGTTGTGAGAAAACATCTTTTCAATTGAAAAACTTAAATTGAGTGGTTATGATGAAATGTGTTATCTAGCATATTTAATATTTGGAAACTAAATGTCTAAACCACATTTTCAGTTTCCATGCAATGTATTTGTTATATAAACTCCTGATGCTTTTTGGTATTTTAATTCTTGCTTTGGGCATATTTCATTTTGAGCCTGTTTCTTTATTGTGTAGTCATGTCCACCTTATTTGGATTAGCTATTTGGCGTTTTCATGGTTGTTAATGGTTCTCATTTAAGTTTGGGCTTCAAGAGTAGTCAGGAAAGCACTGAAGTGGTAAGTACATAGATCCTTTGGATAGCACCTGGTGTTGCCCTCTGAGGGATTTGATTTTTTACACATTAGAACAGATAGCTTATTGGATAGAAAGTCAGCCACAAAGGGAGATATAACTGAGATCAAGTTCCTTAAGTCACATAACCTCTCAGTGCCTCAGGCAGCTTTCTAATACAGTAAATGGAGGAGGATGAAGAAAGAGGAGGAACAAGCATTTATTAAGCTCCTACTATATGCTGGGCACTTTGCTAAGCACTCTACAAATAATATCTCATTTTTTTCCTCACAGCAACTTTGGGAGGTAGCTGCTATTATTAACTCCACTTTACAGTTGAGGAAACTAAGGTAGACAGAGGTTAAATGACTTTCCCAGTGTCACATGAGGCCAGATTTAAAATTAGGCCTTTCTGAATCCAGGCCAAGTGCTATATACACTGTGCAGCCTTGTTGCAAAGCAGGTGCCATACTGCATTGGAAAAGTGAGTTACCTCTGCCAGTAATAATGTACGCATTTAAGAGAATGTGAGATGATATAAGATAGGACTCCTTGTTTTTGTTTTTTCAAAAATTTTTATTCTGCTTGATTATGAACCTTCCATGTGCTCGGGTTTTGCAGTTTTCATATGGAGCTTTAAAATTATGAACATAGGTATTTAATTTATTTCCTTGGTACTTCAGGTATTTTTCACATGGGAGTTTTTTTTTTATTTGAGAATTTTATGCAGCTCGACAGTATTTAAATTTTTTCCTATTTATTAATATGAACTTGGCAAACATCAACAAAAGTGAACTTTTTTTACACAAAGAATAATATAAAAAAGAGAGTACTATAAATGAAACCATGAATCTCCCCTGCAGTTTTTTTAATATTTCAAATTTTATATGGTGGTTCCAATACTGTCTTGCTTGTCTGTGTCCTCTTCTAAACTTCCTTCTGTCCTCTGTTTACATTTTTTTATGAGAACTAGGCTTTTTCTATTAAAAAATTTTTTTTAGGAAAATCTTGATTTTTCAGCTGTTTAGAAAAGAACTAAAAAAAAATAATAAATCTCATTTTACTGATAGGAGATTTAGGCTCAGGGATGTTAAATGATCTGCCCAGGATTTTCAGCCACTTGGGATTAGAATCTAGGTTTTGCATTGAATGGAGCCTATAGAAGGGAGAGGTTTGACATTGATGCTTTAGAAAACTGAGGCAGAGTGGCACAACATGCCTTCCTTGGTTGGTAGTCACACTTCTAATATGTACTCTTCAGTGGTTGACTATCTTATTGCTTTAAGCAGCAGTTGGTCTCAGTGATAGATTTCTTGTATGTATTATTGTCTAATAGGAAACCCAGGTAGAAGTCCAACATATGATGAATAAAGCCCCATGTCAGTCTATTGAAACTAAATCAAAAATCTGGTTCTGTTAGCGAAAATATAGAAAAGAGGGACATATATCATTTGTATTATCTGAACATATGTTTGCTCTTCATCCCTTACTGCTTTTTCTATCTTGTGTTTTTCTAAGTGCACTTACTTAAAGCTGTAGCCAAACAATTCAGTTCTCAGACCATTTTACTATGTGAAATATTCAAACATTGAATTCCATGAAAAATGTTATGTTAAACATTAAATCTTTCAAACATTTATCCATTTTTATTTATGTTTTTTTGAAAGTAAAATGTGATGACTTATTATAGTGTCATCTCTTTGCTGTCTCCCACATAGGAGTGTGTGCCTGTTGCTGCAGGTCTCAATGCCCTGTGTTCTCTTTGCTGCTTCTCCATCTGAGCTCCGTTTGAAAGGCGGCACTAATGCTGAAATGGCCCCACAGATAGATTACACGTTGATGGTGAGAGCCTTTCTCTCCTTGTCAGAGCCATCAGATGGTTGTACAGAATCTTCTGAACTGTATTGGTTAAAATTGGGTTTTAATTTCAGGATGGGCCTGGTGACCTAAGCTTCTGGGCTTAGCTTAGCTTCAAGCTAAGACTTCAGTAGTACTTATACTGGATCACAATCAACTTTTAAAGTAGAAGACTTTAACTTTGACTGTAATAATTTTGAGGTAGAAAAAAAGCAGAATAGCCATCTTTGGGACTTCAAAGAATCCATTAGTCTTGGCCTTATATTGGTATTTTCTGATTGGTGTGCCTCTGTTCTCTGTGAAGCTTCTGGCTTCAATTCACAAACTGATTTTCTGGGCTGCCAGTCCTCTTTCCTCTTTGTTCTTCAGCTTCATTTCCTTCCTTCTTCAGGCATGCCTGTGCTGCTATCATCTTTTCTTCTTCCTCTTCATTATCATAGGCATTTATTTATCTTTTGTCTCTCTTCTGCTCTCTCTTCTTGCAACCCTTAGAGGAAACCCCCTTTCTTCTGGCCTTGAGAAGTTTGTAGATTTACAAGTACAAGGGATAGGGGAGCTCCTGTAAAGCTGTGTAGAGATAAAGCTTTTCTAATAATAACACCTTGCTTTGTTGAAATTTACCTCTCGGAGTCTTTTTTCTGATGATTCTGTGATCCTAAGAAAATGTTAAACCTTTTAACTTTGGTATTATGTCTTTCATTTTATTTAAAATGCTGAAATTCCCTAAGTATTTTTGCATGTGACATTTCCTTAAGCACTATGGGCTTGTGGGTACTCAATAAATGTTTGGTGATTAAAATAACAAAACATACTAATTTTTCAGGTCTTTAAACCAATTGCTGAAAAGTTTGGTTTCAAGTTTGACTGTGATGTCAAAATGAGGTAGGTTGTGTATTTAATATTTTCCTTTCTGATTTTGATCTCTTATTTACATAGGTCTTAGCGGCATGGTAAATGAGATACTTATTTGCTAAGCAGTTACACTGGTCAGGCATACTCTAAAGTATAATTATGATCATGCTAGAATACTATCATTTTGTGACTAACTACTAGTTAGCACAGTGGCTAGATCTCCAGGCCTAGAATCAAGGAGACCTAAGTTCAAATCCAGGCTTAGATACTTACTAGCTGTATGACCCTAGACAAGTCCTTTAACCTCTCTCTGTCTCAGGTTCTTCAACTGTAAAATGGGAATAATAGTAGCACTTACTTTACAGGGTTTTTGTGAGGATTAAATGAGATAATATTTGTAAAGTTCTTAGCACAGTGCCTGGTATGTGGTAGGTGCTTAATAAATGCTTGTTCCCTTCCCTAAATAATTAGAGATTACATTTCTTACAGGATTCATTAATACTCAGAAAGGTAAGCCACAAAGGCATGTGGAATACATGTGGAAGTTGTAGTGATGGTTGCAATTGTATACAGTATCCATTTATGTATCATAGGGTATAGATACTTAATCAGGAAACTTCCACTTTGTGTCTATTAGCCACACAAAGTAGTATCTTTGTCTTATCAATTAGCAACATTTAAATCCCATTATGTGCAAAATATTAGACCAGGCGTGGGGAACCTGCAGCCTTAAGGCCACTTGTGGCCTTTAAGTCCTCAAGTGGGGCCCTTTGACTGAATCTAAACTTCACACCCTTTAAGAAAAGGATTTGTTCTGTAAAAGTTGGATTCAGTCAAAAGGCCACACCCAAGGACCTAGAAGGCCACAGGTTCTCCACCCCTGCATTAGACATCAACAAGCATTATTAGGTGTTTACTATATGCTAGACATTGGGGATAAAAATAAAAAGAATGAGACAGTCCCTGGCCTTAAGAACTTTATATACTACTGGAGAGATAAAAATATACTCTCACATAAATACATACTGGAAGCATACAAAATAAATACATGATGATGGAGTATATACCATATACAACAGTCCACTGTAGGAAGAAGTCTCAGTCTTTATAATTAGGGAATTTAGAAATAAGTCATTTTTTCCTTCATGTTCTTGTTACAGGCATTGAAAAAAGAGGACAAAGTGGAAAGCGACTTTAGAGAAAGACTTTTTTCCTTTTGTCATGATATAATTGGGAGTAATTTCACAGAATGATCAAAAGACTTAGACATTGTTTTGAGATTGCCTTCCATTATCCCTAAACTTGGTGGTAGTGATAAAGAATGAATTTTTGACTCTGCTTAAAATTAATTTTAGTTTCATTGTTAGAGGCAGCATGATGTAATGGACAAAAAGATGGGCTTGGAGTAGGAACACCTGGATTCAAATCCTACCTTGAACACTACCTTGACCCTAGGCAACTCACTTAATGCTTCAGCCAACTCCATAGGATCTACCTACTCAGTCAGAGTGGTTGCCTTGTGCTTTAGTGGAGGTAATTCCCACACCAGGAATCCCATTTCGTCTCCCTTCCCTCCACTCCCTGAAATGCACACTTTGGAAATCACAGGTTCTTTGCATTTTTTAATTGCATGACCAATACAGCTGATCTACCACAAGGATATAATGCTTCAATATTTTGTCATCATTGCGGTTTTAGCAGTTTTAGAACTGTTCATTAACTACGTTCAGATACCATTTGTCTTCTATTCAACTGTCACTGACTTGTTTTTTGGTCCTGCAATATGGTTATATGTGATCACATGTACTTTTTATAGGGGCTACTACCCTAAAGGGGGTGGTGAAATAATTGTCCGAATGTCACCAGTTAAACAGCTGAGCCCAATAAATTTAACTGATCGTGGCACAGTGACCAAGATATATGGAAGAACATTTGTTGCTGGTGTTTTGCCATTTAAAGTAAGTATCTCAGATGTTACAAGCATGTGTGTTTCTTGGTAAATGGCATGTTACCTATTCTTTGAAATTATTGGAGTAGCTGTTTATTTTTGATAAATCTTTTCATGATATAATAGCTAATTTTTAAAGGAAAATTAGCTTTTTACACTTGAGCATTGATTCTGAATAATTTGTATAAAAGTTGTTAATTACTCTAATTATCCTTGATGGCTTGAAAAGAATTGTCAAACTAACCAGTGATTTATTTCAATTTTACTGTAACTGTTGCCTTTCTGTCTTATCAAATTAGATAGCAAAAGATATGGCAGCAGCAGCAGTGAGATGCATCAGAAAGGAAATCAGGGATCTGTACGTTAACATCCAGCCTGTTCAGGAACCTAAAGAACAAGCCTTTGGCAATGGAAATGGAATAATGTGAGACAAGACACTAATCTCTTCCTGTGTCATTAGTTTAGAGTTATGAAGTAATTTTCCTATTTAAAAAAAAATGAGAGTAGAGTTTTTGAAAAGACTTGTTAAAAGTATTCTAGCCTAATACAAAAATATATGTAAGATTTGACAAAAGTTCATTCCAATAATTTTGCAGTTTCTAAAACTTGAGGTTCTTGTGAGAACTTTGCCATTGTTATAATGAGAGGCTTCTGATTTGTTTAGAGAATTTCATTTTTAATGGATCTTATTAGCAGTTGGTCTTTAAAAAGAATCTTGAAGGAAACTTTTCCAAATGTGTTTATGTAACTTGGTTGAAAAGTCATTTTGTAAATACCTAAGGTGACGAAAGATTTTTTTCAGGCCAGAGAATGGCTGTCTAATAAAAAGGGGACTGGTTCAAGGTTTAAAGTTTCTTAAACTGATATACTTGAAGAGTAAAAGTACCCTTCAGGTGAGCATTTACATTTAGTGCCTACACTGTGGTCTTCTTAGATTACTCTAGTTAAGGCTTTTTAAAGTAAATACTCTCTGATACTATGCATAAACTGAAAAAATCTCCACAAATTTCTGTATAAAAGACCTTTTTATTTGATATAATCTTAGTCTGCTTTATAATACCTTTTACATGTAAAATATCATCCCATTCTGATACACATAGTAACTTTGTGTTTTATTTTTTGTTCTCATTAAGAAGTCAGTTATCGAAGGAGAAGACGTTCCTCATGTAGATACTGAATAAAATCTGGCCAGTTTCCCCTGCTTAAAAAAAAAAAATCCCCAGGAATACTCATACTGGCAGTCAGGGCCACTTTTCTCTTAGTTGCATTATAGGATGCCTGTACACATAAACCTAGGGTTACCTTATCATTTTCTGATAAGGATTCAGGTTTAAGTTTGATTTCTTTGGTTTAAGTTTAATTCTGTCTATTTAGTGATAATAGAACACTATGTTATATTTGCCAATAATTTTAAAGGATATTTATAATATAATGGAATTGACGGTTTTTAATTTCTGTGCAGCATTGTTGCCGAGACGTCAACAGGCTGCTTGTTTGCTGGATCATCACTTGGTAAAAGAGGTACGGATAAATGAGAGAGCCACGGTTTTAAATGTTGCAATCAAACAAAAATAGTTTCGAAGAAAGAAGTCTGGAATTCAGTAGAGTGGAGATGGATGTGATGGTTTAATGTTTTTTAGAATTATGTTGCTGTTAAAAATCAATCACACTTTAAAACATTTTACTTTTTTTGAAAGGGAGATTATTTTCTTGGCATAAGAATTGAAATGTTACAGAAAATGAGGGATGTGTGTGTCTCTGTGTGTGTGTGTGTCTGTGTGTAAAGTTTTTAGTTTGGACTTAGTAAAATTTGTTTTTTAAGCGTCAGGTCCATAGGATCATAGATTTAGCCCTGGAAAAAACCCTAAGGTTTTCTTGTCCAGCTCCCTGATTTTATAGTTGAGGAGACTGAAGCCTAAGAAAGTTTAAATGGTTACTCCAGGTCACACAGGTAGAAAGTGACAGGGCCACAATTTGAACCCAGTACCTCTGACCACCAGTCCACTCTTTTGATATGCTTGTTAACTTTGTGACCCTGGGTAAGACACTTAGCCTCTCTGAGCCTCAGTTTTCTCATATGTAAAAGGAGCAGATTGGATTAGATTACCTGTAAGGTCCTCTCTGTTCCTGTTTATTGTCAACTGATGATTTTTTGTTCTGAAGTAACTTAAAAAGACATATTAGTAGCCTGACAAGGAGAGACTTCAAACTGAAGGTTACAGTGTATAAAAATGTAAGAATCTTTTTGTCATAAGCCTGTTTAAGATGGGGAATGTTTTGTAGTAGCTCTAATATATTGAGCTGGCAGCCAAACCCCTCTTACTCAGTAGTTAGAAAACACAATGTGCATTACTTCTAATTGACCTAGCTTAAAATCTCATTTAGGCAACAAATATTTGTTGAGCAGCCACTGTATTTGTGTGACTCTATGCCACTTACTAAGGCTTATTTTCTGCCATCAAGGATCTTGTAATCTAATTGGAAAGGCAAGTAGAACACATATGCAGAATTGACTAACAATGCATTGTAAATAAGTCTCAGATTAATAGTGCAGTGCCATAAGAATTCGGAGAGAGAGCTCATTTTGGGCTTACAGTAATTAGGGGAGGCTTTATGCAAGAAATTATATGTGGACTGAATGAGTATGAATGGATGAGGTTTAAAATGGCAGGAGAGAATGGAGCTGGTTATTTTGGGCAAGACTTTTGACACTTGAAGGGAGATATATTCAAGGTGGGAATGAATAAACCATTTTTGAGGAATTGTATGAGTACTAGGTTAACTGGAACTACAGGTTTGTGTTAGGCAATCATGAGAAATAAGTTTGGAGAGGTGGATTGGGACCAGATCATGAAGGACCTTGACTGCCTAAACTAAGAAGCTTAGATTTAATTTGCTAGGCAGTAGGGAGCCATTGACAGTTTTTGAGGAACTAAATGAAATATTACAAGAATCACCACAATGCCTGGAACATATTAGACACTTGTTAGAAGCTTGTTGATAGATGAGCCAAATAAATGTCTAGTCAATTTCTATGAAGTGTTAATAGATGAGGATAGGTAATGGCAAAGGGAGGTTGCTTTAGTGGTGGTCATAATTTTTCCAGCAACTTGCTGAATAGTACTGGGCATTTAACCTATCTGGGCTCCAGTTTTTTCATTTGTAAAAGGAGAGGTTGGACTGGGTGATCAAGAATCAAGTCTTAGATCTTAAATGCAAATTTTCCGTGGTCTTCAAGATCTAAGCCTTTCCTGACAGGCTAGAAAGTTAGACTAAATCTATAAAGATGAGATTGAATAGGGATAGTAAAGTCTTATGCTTAGGTTCAGAAAATCAACTTTATAACTACAAAATTGGGGAATTGTGGATGGATAGAAAAAGATCTGGGGGTATGAATGGAGTACAAGCTTAGCATGAATCAATTGTGATAAGGCAGCCAGGAAAACTAATGCAAGTTTCATTTAAAGAAGCAAATTATCTGTGACTAGGAGAGTAATCACCTAACTGTTCTCTGCCCTGGCCAAGCCACATCTAGAGTATTATTTTCAGTTCTGGGCACCACATTTTTAGGAAGGACATTATAAGAGCATTGAGAGGAGGGCAACCAAGATGGTGAATGGCTTCATGTTCTTATCATTGAGGATTTGGGGGGTGGGGGTGGTATTTAACCAAAAGAAGACCTTGGTGTGCATAATAGCTGCCTTTAAGGGTGTCATGTGGAAGAGAGATTAGACCTATTCTACTGGGCCCCATTGAGTGGTGAGACTAGAGGCTGCTGGTAGAAGTTGCAAAATTTTTCATTTGTATTCTACACTTACTTATCTGTGGGTCTCTTGTGTTCCCGAAGCAGAATGTGAACTCCTTGAGGTGGGACAAGGACTGTTTTACTTTTGTCTTTGTATCCCCAGCGCTAGTACAGGACTGTGCTTATTAAACTATCACTGAGTTGAATAATATGGATTCTTGTTCAGGTACATTCTGGTGAATGGTTTCTTAAGGTCCTTCCAGATTGGAGATTCTTTGTGTGATCTTTTCCAACTTTAACACTGTATACTTCTAGTGGAAAAGAAACATATAATAGTTTTTAGCTCCTTTTGAATTTTTGTACACTCTTCAACTCTTACATCCTCAGTTAAGGCAAAACTTATTGCCAAAAAACCAATCAGCTAAAACTAAAGATTATACCACCAGTAAACGAAGTCACCATTCCTCATTTCACTCTCTTCTAGTGTATTTGCCCAGCTCTACTTAAATTCATTGTATTTTCATCCTGAGGCCTTCCTTGAATCCTGGAAACTGTTTCTTAATGTTTATTTTCAATGAGCTGGAAGTTATAGTAAAACTTCCTTTAGGTTATATTTAATTGAATTCTTCTTTATTGGCACTTTAAATGGCATTATTAGTATTTAAAAACACATAGAACTTCCAAGGGTTCAGTGTTAATTTGAAAAGAACAAGATTTCAAAAGTTATAACTATTATTATTGTATTGTTTAGTTGTTTTGCAGGGGTTTTCTTGGCAAAGATAATGGAGTAGTTTGCCATTTCCTTCTGCAGTTCATTTTACAGATGAGGAAACTGAGGCAAACAGGGTTAAGTGACTTATCCAGGATCGCACAACTAGTAAGTGTCTGAGGCCATATTTGAACTCAGGAAGATGAATCTTCCAGACTCCAGGCCTGGTACTCTATCCACTATGCCCCACCTACCTGTGCATATTATTTTTGTGACCCTTTAGCTTATTTGGTTAAAAATATAATTCTAATGAATTCTTGTTCAAGAATTCAGTGTACTCTCTTCCACAGCCATTTTGTAAATATATACTATTAGTCGTAACATAGACAGCTTTCATGTGAATAGGACTTGACACTTAACGAAGCACTTTGCTCCTGGCAACCTTCTAGAATAGGTTGTGCAAATATCGTCCCAGTCTTCAAGATAAGAAAACTGCGGCTCAGGGAGGTTAAGTGATTTGGCCATGGTAACATGTTGCCATATTCTTAACATAGTCTTCTTTGAACTCTTCTTCCCTCTTAGTCAGATCTTAGCAAGATTTCAAAACCCAGCTGGAATCCTTCCTTCAGGAACCTTTCTCTGACTACTCCAACCCCTCTTGCTGTTAGCCTTCATTACACTTAGGTTGAATTTATAATCATTACTACAGTCTGACATTACATTTTTCCCTTTAATTTATTCATTTGTATTTGTTTTTTTCCACTGCATGGAAACTCCTTTTAGGCAGGGATCATGCCTTCTGCTTCTTTCACATTCTCCATAACACCTAGAACATTGTTGAGCTTGTGCTCAGGAGATGATGGTGCGAAGGTCAGTGTGCAAAGAACAATAGCTCTAGGGTGTGGTGCACATTCTTGTATTGGTATTGCCTTTTCCATGAATGGATGTTTCATACTTTTCTTATGAGGCAGTTCCATAAACTTTAAGGAGGGCAATTTATTTCTAAATGCCATGTCTTGTGGGAACTTGTGGGCTCTGATGTAAGCAAGGGAATTTCTTAATATTGTTATTAATGAAACTGACCTTGGGGCAAGTCAGTTGACATCAGTGTCTTCATCTCACAAATATAGGATGGGTGTTGGTCTTGATGAAATCTGAAGTTCCTTTCAATTCTAGCCTTCTGGGATTCCAAGTTTGGTGGCTTAGATTCTTATCCAGTTCTGCCACTTAAATAGAAATGTAATTTGAGGAAGTTAGTCAACAAACATTTATATACACTTCTCTCGTGCCAGACCTAGTCCTAAGCACTGGGGATACACAGAAAGGCAAAAATGTGACCCGATCTCAAGGAACTTACAGTCTAACAGGGAAGACAACACACAGATAACTGTATGTACAAGATATATTCACTGTAAATGGAAAGCAGTCTCAAGAGGGAAGGTACTAATGGGGGAAGGCCTGAAGAGACAGGGAAAGACCTTTTGCAGAAGGTGGAATTTGAACTGAGTGAGGGGAGCCAGGAGGCTGAGGTATGGAAAGAGAGCATTCTAGGTACAAGGAGCAGCCAATGAAAAGGTACGGAGTCAGGAGATAGGAGTGTCTTGAGTGAGAAATATCAGAGGGGCCAGGGTAGCTGGATTGTAGAGTAGGGGGAGTAAAGGGGTTGTAAGCATAAGAAGATGGTGAAACTAGGAAGGGGCCAGATTGTGAAGGGCTTTAAAAACCAGACAGAATTTTGTATTTGATCCTGGAAGGAATAGGGAACCACTGGAGCTTACTGAATTGGGTATGGGTAGGGAGAAATAATATGATCACACCTGTGCTTTAGGAAAATGACTTTGGCATCTCGGTGGAGAATTAGAGTGGAGAGAGATGACTTAGAAAGACCAATTAGAAGGCTTTTGTAAGAGTCTAGGTCCAAGGTAATCAGATGGTGGCTATGTGAGTAGAGAGAAGAGGAAGTATATCAGAGACATAGTGTAGAAGGAAGTGACAAGCCTTGACAACACACGAGATATACAGGCTGAAGCAGGTGAAGAATTGAGAATGACACCAAGGTTATGAGCCTGGTTGACTAGAAGGATGGTGGTATCCTTGATAATAATAGGAAAGTTGGGAAGAAGGGAGTGTTTAAGGTAAAATGAAAGAGTTTTGGACATACTGAGTTTGAGATACCTATGGAACATCCGGTTCAAGATGTCAAAAAGGCAGTTTGTATTGTTGGATTGGCTCTTCCTTCCAGGTCTGAAGCCTGTGGCCCAGCATATCCTAATATAAATTATATGCTTCCCACTTTGAAAAACCTTAGGGAAGATTTAACATACGCTTGAGCTAAGAGAATTTTTACCTGTTGGAGTTTAGATAATACTTGGAATGGACTATTTTCCCTCACTATGGCATATAAGCTCCTGAAGGCAGGTACTTTTTTATTGTGTATTGTCAGTGTCACTAACACAAATGACTGACACATAATAAAATTTTGTTGAAGAAATTATGGTGTTTTACATCTTAGTATCTGATCAGGCCAAGTCAGCAACATGATGTGATGGCAATTGAAATGGAGTCAAAATCATAATGGGCCAAACTTTGTAATCAAGAGCTATCAATTATGATTATTTGGATAGCACCAGAGGAATTCTCTCCTCCGTGCGTGTCAGGATTGAAATATAGGGTGAAACCTAGTGCAGTTTTAAGCTTTAAATTTGTATATAGTTAAACATATGTATCATATTATGTAGACTTGTATGTAAGTTTAAAGCTTATAACTGCACTAAGACTTTCGGGATACCCTGTACGTATATGTGCATGCCAGTTTCCCATAAAAGAATAGGTGAAAATTAAGTCTCCAGGTACTGACAGAATCAGCCCCCAAAGATCAGAGGCATACTGACTTTTTGACTACTGATTTTTTTGCCTGTTGTGGTGCTAATTAATTCACCTGCACTCTCCCTGTCTTAGGCATATCTGCTGACAAGGTTGGAATAGAAGCTGCAGAGATGCTCCTGGGAAATCTGAGACATGGGGGAGCTGTGGATGAGTATCTGCAGGACCAGGTAATTTCACATCCAACAAGAACATGGGATGTGGGGTCAAAAGGCATGGGTTAGCATCTGTGTAACCTTGAGGAAAATCACTTGATCTCTGAAGATCCTCTGTTTCCTCATTCTTAAAATGAAGATGATAATATTATATTAACTAACTTACAGGATTATCATGAAGCTTAAATAAGGTAATGATATGAAACACTATAAACAACCACATAAAGATTAACTACTGTTATTTCTGCTGTTGTTATTATGTAAAAGTAAGTCATTATTAGTATTCCTCCCTAGTGTATTCAGATTATCACATAATTTTTGAAAGCTAGGCTTGACTTAAATCATTCACCAAGAAAATTTGAAATGATCTATTTTTTTTCTTACAAATACAGATTTATTTTCATCCACTCTTTCTGGTAGCATTTTTTTTTTAATGAAGAAAGGATAGAATTGCATCTTTAGTATTACTAGTTTTGTGAAGTTTTCTTCTTTGTTATTGTTTTATACAGCTGATCATTTTCATGGCCTTAGCCAGTGGGGTCTCCAGACTGAAAACAGGACCAATTACACTCCATACACAAACTGCCATACATTTTGCTGAACAACTAACAAAGGTGAGTGTATATTGATGAAAACTGCTTGGTTTTATGGTAGCTATTATTTGAACTGATTTTGAATAATGGGATAATATACTAGGATCTGTGATTTCATTCATGAGGGCACTCCATCCACTGATACAGATTGCAGCTTTCCATCTCCATAATTCAAAACCCAGCAAGCAACTAGTCCTGTCCTCAATTTCTTTTAACTGGAGCATAGAACACATACATATTGGGTCCCAGAATAATAGAATACTTAATTAATGTGTTCTGATGATAACTTTCTAGAAGTGGAAATCTGACTATAGCCAGTGGTTGGTTTTAGAATGCTTGGAGTGTTTTAATCTAATGTATATCTCATGCTTATATTTCTTTTTTTTTTTTTTTTTTTTGGTGAGGCAATCAGGGTTAAGTGACTTGCCCAGGGTCACACAGCTAGTAAATGTCTTGTGTCTGAGATCATATTTGAACTCGGGTCCTCCTGACTCCAAGGCTGGAGCTTTATCCACTGCGCCACCTAGCTGCCCCCTCATGCTTATATTTCTTAATGATATATGTGATATTTTTATAAAGGGTTATGGCATTGTGTAGTCTACCTGAAATTTGTCTCAGCTTTACATTCCAAAACACTAAAAGAGGCAGCGTGGGGTAAAAGATAGAAAGCCAGCATAGGAACCAGGAAGACCAGGGTTTAAGTTCTGCCTGTCTCATATACTGGCTAAGGGGCCTATGGGCAAGCCACTTAACCTCTTGGTACCATAGACCAGAGGCGTCAAATTCTTGAACCAGATTGAAATATCATTGGGAAACGTTTAACAAAATAAATGAAAATAAAATACAACATAGATAATGTTAATTTGTGGTTTTCTAAACCAGTATGCAGCCTTCAGGATGTTTCTATCTAAGACTAAGTTGCAGAGAAGGTGCTGGACTGCATTGGTAGAGTTTCCTCTCCTGGAAGTTGAAATCATTAGTCTAGTCCCTTTCCCTATCCTAGCCTCTCCAGACTATACTTCTGTTAGTCAGTAAACATTTATTAATTACCTACTATGTGCCATATACTGTGCTGAGTGCTGAGCATACAGATACAAAAAGAAAGATAGCCCCTGCCCTCAAGGAGCTTACAGTCTAATGGGGGAAAATAATACACAAAAGGAAGCTGAAAAGGAGGGGAGGTGAGAATCCAAAGAAGTGCAAACGAGGTCAGGTCAAACTGGTGGAAAATCAAAGGACAGTTGCCCGGGCCCCTTCTTAAATGGAGGTTTTGGGAACTCATGGTTCCACCTCCAGTCAGAGGGGAAGGAAGGTACTGAGGAGGTATGAGTACCAAGGCTGTGAATCTGTAAATGTGATGAGAGAACCCTTATGTAGGCTAGTTGATAAGCAGAGGACTCAAGCTTCATTTATTCATTGAACACTCAGCCCTGCTAAATTAGAAGCAGTTATGGCAAATTATCCCATAGATACTCCCATTTGAATGCTTATGAATAAGCATTTCTTAACTAGCTGTCTTGTGTCAAAATCATAGAGTTTGAGAGCAGGAAGGGACCTCAGGGGTCATCTGGTCTAACCGATACACAGAAATATCTCTACTCTCATATACCCCACAACTGGTTGAGCAGCCTCTGCATGAAGACCACCAAGGAAGATCCCACCACTCCATGCAAGCCATTCCACTTTTGGACAGCTCTAAGTGTTAAGACTTTTTTTCCTGATAACAATTTGTTGTCTTTGCAACTTCTCATCACTCCTGGTTCTGCCCTCCCGGGTAAAAAAGTGAGAGGAGAATAGAGCCGGGAGTATTTGCAGACAGCTTTTTTTCTCTGAGTTTGGCCATGAAAGGGAGGAGAGATCAAGGTGGGCAGGGTTTCATTTGTCTTTTTAATCTCCAACTGCCTAGCACAGTGTCTTGCCCATATGTACTAATTAACGTAAGACTTGAAGGAAGCAAATATTAGTTAATCCCAACCTTTTCTTTATTTAATCAACAAACATTTATTAAGCACTCACTATGTTCCAGGCATTGTGTTAGGCAGTTGGGGATAAAAAGAAAGGCAAAAACACAGTCCTTTCTCTTTAAGTACCTCACATTCTAATGGGAGAACAAAATGCAAACAACCATGTACATACAAAATAGATACAATGTAAGTAGGAGATAATGTCAGTGGGAACAGTTGGGGAGGGGGAAGAGGAGGAGAAATCAAGAGGGCCTCTTTCAGAAGGGGTGATTGGTGCTGGGTCATGAAGGAATCCGTAAATCTTTTATGTGGTGTCTTGTTTTGATAGGTGGCTTGTTGTCAGTTAGGGTCAGTTTTGTTCAGGTAATTGAAAAAAGGTAATAGGAATTAAAGTCAGAAAGAAAGGTAAACAGTTCAGCCTAATCTGACAGTATAGGCAGATGTTTTTCTTATACAGAATTTCAGCATGGTGGTAGGTTGGTCCTCAATGAGAGTGCCCCAGGAAACCTAAACTTGACCCTGTGCTGTTTAACCTTTTTATCAGTTAAGAATAGAGGGCCTGTTCAGCAGCTTTGCAAATGACACAAAACTGAGAAGTATAGCTAACATACAAGATGATAGGATTCAAAATCTTGACAGACTTGAGCAGTGGATTCAAAGCCAGTAAGATGAAATACAGTAGGGATACATATAGAATCTTACACTTGGGCTTAGAAAATTAGCTTTACCAGTACAGAAGGAGAGTAGTGGTGGTGATGAGGGGAACATGGTTAGCATGTCTTTGAAAATGACGTAAGGGTTTTAACTATACTACAAGTGTCAATATGATTCATAAATTTCCTGTATTATTGCAACTAAAAAAGCTAATGCCTTCCTGGGCTATGTTGAGAGACATAGTATTCAGGACTGACTGTGCAATTATAATTCTGCTTTATTTTGCTCTGGTCAGATGACATCTGGAGTGTTTTATTTAGATCTTTAGGCCCTATTTTGGCATAGACATGTTAAGCTGGAGAATGTCCAAAGGAGGACCATCTAAAATTCAGTTGAAGGAATGGGGATTGTTATCCTGGCAGAGAGAAGACTTAGGCAGAACTGATGGCTTTTTTCAGGTATTTGAAGCTCTGTCAACCTGGAAGAGGCACTATTCTACCAGGAACAATGAGGAGAAGTTGCAAAGAGATAAAGAGAGGCTTGGTGTCAGGAAAAGTTTGCAGCAATTAGAGCTGTCCTGAAGTGCATTAAGTAGGTTTCTTCTTTATCGGAGGTCTTCAAGTAGAGAGTGGCTGAACACTTGTCAGGGGTCGCTTAGGTTTCTTCCAACTCTGGAATCTTTTTTTTTTTTTGGTGAGGAAATTGGGGTTAAGTGACTTGCCCAGAGTCACACAGCTAGTGAGTTGTTTGTTTTTTTTTATGTGTCTGAGGCTAGATTTGAACTTGGGTCCTACTACTGACTCCAGAGCTGGTGTTCTATCCATTGTGTCACCTAGCTGCCCCTCAACTCTGGAATCTTTTTTTTTTCTTTTTTTGGCTAGGCAGTGGGGTTAAGTACTTGCCCAGGGTCACACAGCTAGTAAGTGTCAAGTGTCTTAGGCCAGATTTGAACTCAGGTCCTCCTGAATCCAGGGCGGGTGCTCTATCCACTGTGCCACTTAGCTGCCACCTAGCTGCCCCCTCTGGAATCTTTTAAAAGGGATTTTACCTCATGATGTGTAACACCTGATAAATCACTTGATCTTTGTAGCTTCATCAAAAAAGTAAGAGTGATATTAGTACCTGTTTACTTTATAGGAAATTACAGAATTGTCCCTCTGACTCTCCTAATATAAATTATATACTAAATTTGTTTTTCTTGTTTTAGGCCAAATTTACTGTGAAAAAGTCAGAAGATGAAGATGATTCATCTAAAGAAACTTACATTGTTGAGTGCCAAGGAATTGGGATGACAAATCCACATTTGTAGGATGTTTGCCTTTTTTAATGATACCTCAGTGATGGATTGCACTAACTTTCAGTTGATAAATAGTACATGATGGTGAATGGGGAGTAATTTATCAAATGAATGAGCTTAACTTTAGAAGTGCAGAGTATTCTTGGTTTGTTTAGAAAAGCTTTACCTGATAAATCTTTCCATGAATGTTTACTGAGATGTGTATAATGAACTGTTAAAATTCAAAGACAAATGCTTGAGACTGGAAAACTAATTTCTGTATGAACATCTTGAAATGAAGCCTGCATTTCACCAAAAAGATGCGTGCTTTGAAATGGTTCCTTTCTATGCTATAACTCCTAGGCATGGGAATGTCTCCTTAATTAACTTGTATCCAATCTCTGTATCCACTTTACTGAAATCTCATCTAAAGAATACTAATAAAGCAATTCTAGGCAAATGAACTAGCTATTTGTTCTTATTGGTAAACTTTAAACTAGCATTGCTTCATTCTAGTTGCAGGTGGCTATTTAAAGGTAAATAATAAGTACTTAAATGAAGCAAATTTCATAACAGATAGAGAACACTGCCACCTTATGTAGTAAAGAACTGTTAGCAAAATTATTAGAAAGGTAACATAAAAGGACCTAAGGCTTAGATCCATGAGGATGATACAGCTTCATTGTAAGAAAATTATTAAATAAGACTCTGTCACAGTGTTGGTGGAAAGATCATCAGATGGTCTGTGTTAGTGATCTTGTATATACAGTTGATACATTTCCCTATATGTGAAATAGGAATATGTAGTGTGTTCTATTGGCCTATAAGGAAAAATGAGATGTGAATGTGGACATTTTAAAATTCCTTAGGCATAAGATGCTGTATTAACATTCAGTGAACACGTAGAGCACTGTTAGGTACTAGGTGAGGTAGAAAGTTAGATTAAAAATCACATAAGCAAAAAACATTGCAATCCTTAATTAGAGGAAGTAGGTTGTATATCACAGAATCTCAAGAGTTGGAAGGGGATTCAGCAGCTATTTAGTTCAATATACAACTCAACAATTCACGATATAACATACACATTAAGTAGTCACCCCAGCCTTTGCTTGAAGACCTCACTAGAGTAATACCTCTAGTGAGGTTTTCAAGCAGTTCACTTCACTTTTATATAGTTCAAGTGTTAGGCAGTTTTCCCCCCCTATACTTTGCAGCATGGGCCTGGGAATAGATGAGGGTATTCCTTCCTTTCTTTTTTCTTCCCCAAAGCATAGCACCCTGAAGATCAGTTCATTCTTTTCACAGAGAAGGAAATTCTCTATCATGTCATCATGAGATCTTAGTTGTAGGTTGGCAATTGAGTTTGTGTATGCTAAAAATCTCATGTAAGACCAGTTTTTATTTTGAATCAAATTTATATTTTTGTCGCTTTAAATTTTAAGAATCAGTGATTTGTTATGAGTATTCGTGCAGATTACAATCAGTCAGTAACTTAATAGACAATTTGAGAATTGCCAGATCAAGAAATCCATCACCCAGCAACCAAATTGCCAATAAACCTATCTCCCAACTTAGTTATGCCAGTGTTTGGATAGCAACTATGCAGTCCATCACTGGACCTATGCTTGAAGCCTTTCCATCTTCTGAATCTGCCAGAGCTGGGGTGGCCTCCATGCAATGACAATATATGGGAGGAGGAGCTCCGTGAAGATATTCTTCACAATCATAAGTAATCTGCCAATGTAGACTCATGCATGACACTGATATTTATGGCCAAAAACCTACTCCATGATAAGCCAAGGAATGTGTATGCATTTATGTTAGTACTTTGGCCTGGAGTTAAAATTTATGAACATGCTAGAACTAAAGAGACTTTAGAGAAACTATGCCCTAGCTATTTGGGGAAATTATTCCACTCATCTTTGGAACTACCACCCTTGAGCTGGGATGTCTTGAAAAGTGAGGCAGTGCGTAACTTGCTATGCCTAACCAGCACCAGACCAGACCATCCAGCCATCTTGTCACTAGCCCTGCTGCTGCATCTATACACCTAATGAATCACCTATGTGCTGTAGGGCCAGGACTTAACACCTATAAACTAAGGCAGATCTGTAATCCACTGGGGCTGGGCTAACACCCCTGGAGAGAAATTGGGGAAAGTAGCAAAGATGTCATCAAAGAACCTCAAGCAAGATGATCTTTAGCCCTATATAAGAAGTAGGAGTCTGATGGTCTCTAGGCAGAGGCTGTTACTTGGACTTGGTGCATAGTTATTATCAATTCTCTCTTGGGACTTCTGGATCCCTGGCACTTCTGGGTAGCTCAGGTGTCTTGGAGGGGTGGGGTCCTGGGCCCGATTGGTTTCTCATTCCTGAGGTCAGAAATACCGATGAACTAGGAAATGAAGTTTCTAGACTAAAGTTATCGCTTCCACATTGTGATTTTCCCCATTATGGTTTTGATAAATCACAGGTTAGCATAAGAAATTAAATGGGAATTTTTAGGAGTTTTGCAAAGCTGCAGATGACATGCAGAGGCCAGCAGATAACAGAGAAAAAGTTTAGAAACTCAGAAATGCATAAAATATTTGTATACTGTAGCCCATTGTTGTGGTTTCATGATGTGTTGTGAGTTCTCCAAGAATTCAGAGTCAGACCACCTTTAATCCAAGCACAGGCATTTATTGAGATGGACACCTCTCATGAAGCAGGGTAAGTTCTGAGAGGAACCAGCAACTTTAGTGAAAGCAAGATGGATTTTTATAGGGTAAAGATGCAATTACATAACAGAAATTATAAATATTAAAAAGGCAGAAGTGGTTTGTTAAGGGATTAGGTAATAGGGGAGGGGTCCCAATCTCAGTGGAACTGTGTGTGCAAATACCCACAATGCACACAGAAAAACCATGGAAGGGCAGTATGTATGTATGATAATGAAATTATAATAAGCTGCTCTACATCATAGGTTCACTTAAGGGACAGCTTTTGCTATTACTGTGCAGGTGCCAACTTAGGGAAAGTTCCTTCTATTGTTTTGGGGTCCACATTCTGCTCAGGCATCCTGGTGGTTCCGCTTTCTGGTTGACTGGCCATTGTGGTCCTGTCTGAGATTAGATGGATATGGTTGTGGTTGAGTGCATGGACACACCTACTATTTCTGTGGGAAACATGAAGAATGGATCTGGGGGCAGTGGCTACCTAAAGGCAGCGACTGGGGTCCCATCACATGGACATGCCTGCTGTTTCTGAGAAATATGAGTTCATGGACACACCTGTTGTGCTAGTGATCAGTGAGGCATATATTAAGAAGTTAGGATATTGAGTAGGGGTGGTGGGAAACAGTGGCTAGGTAGGGGAAGTGGCTATATTGAGTCTGAGGGCCTGTGGTGTGGTTAAAGTCGTGGTTAAATCAGGACGTGCCTTCTGTTCAATGGGGCCCATAAGGAAGTTAGAATATTGGGGCTGGGGGCAGCTTTATTAGGATTCCATCACTATAACCAAATACTTAACCCAAATTTTACAAATAAGGTATTATAAACACTCCATAAAAGAAAAAAGGAAAAAAAATTCAGACTTCTCTGAATCGAAGAGGGAGGAGCCAAAAAATTTTATGTGGATTTTCTAGATCACGGGTGCTACACCCCTAACCCCTGTGATATGGAAGGGATAACTGTAGAAGGTTCCAGATATAGGGGGGTGGGGGTGGATTCCAGATAGAAAGGAGGAGCTACCAGGTAAGAGGGCCCCTAGGTGGTACAATGGGTAGAGTGCTGGGCCTAGAGTCAAGAAGACTCATCTTCATGAGTTCAAATCCTTACTAGTGACTCTGGGCAAGGTCACTTAACCTTGTTTGCCTCAGTTCCTCATCTGTAAAATTAGCTGCAGAAGAAATGGCAAACCACTTCAGTATCTTTGCTAAGAAAACCCCAAATGGGGTCATGAAGAGTTGGACATGACTGAAACAACCAAACAACAGACCAGGTAAGGAGAAGAAGACATGACTAGGGCACATACAGCACTAGTGGACAGAGAAGGACTAGGCCAGAAAAACCTGAGGTGATCAGTGAAGCAATTAGGAATTAGCTAAATCAATGCCTATATTAAATTTAAAGTTCAGTGACTGACCTCTAAATATTTTCTAACTTTATATCTTAAGGTATTAATTTTCTTTGGGGAACGAAGAGCACAGCCTGCAGGGGAGGTGCTGAGGGAGGATGATAGTACAATATATGATTATAAATATTACATAATTTAATTTCAGTGATTTATAGGGGAAAACTCAAATTTTTTAATTGAAAAGCTGAATAAGCAACATTGATCCTGCCCTGGAGAAATTAACATGCTAAAATAATGGTGCTGATTTAAATGTATTTTTCTGTAAGTGATGCAAGGGTTTTGTTGAGGTAAGGTAAGTAGAGTCATAGATTTATATGCCCTATTTCTCGTTTCTATTACTAGCTGATTTTTGTCTTCTAAATAAACATTCAAAGGTCATACCACAATCTGAATGGATTCTGTGGATTTCATTATTGAAATTACTTGAAATCTGGGAAGTCTGAAGGGAATGGTTTAGCTCAGGAAGAGATAGTCAGGTACTCAAGGAAATGACTAGGAAAATACCTTCGGTCTGATAATTCTTTCAATATGGTCATAGAATCATAGAATTTTAGATATGGTAGGAACCTTAGCCATCAGCTAATTGAATTCTTCATTTTACAAAAGGAAACCCTGACAGGTTAAGGGATTTTTCCAAGATCACTTCCTAACTGGCTCCTCACCGTTATTTGCTGCCCTCCAGGCATTATCTTCCTCCTCCTCATCCTTCTACTCTTCTCCCGTCCCCTTTCCTCTCTGTAAGTTGTATTATCTTGCCAAGGGGTCCAGGCCTCTAAACCATTTCTTGGATGGATGTCTCTTCACCATACACTCACAAATTCTATCTCTCACCACTCCCTTGCTAGTACCACCTTATGTATTGTTTTCCCTTGTCAGAATGTAAGCTCTTTGCTTGCTTGCATGTATAGCACCAGCGCTTAGCACAGTACATAGTAATGGATTAATGATTCTCTCTCTCTCTCTCTCTCCATACACACAGACACAACACACACACATAATATACATATATGTGTGTCTATATATGTATGTGTATGTATGTGTGTGTGTGTATATATATATACGGATATAGATATATGTATCTCCATCCATTTATATCTATCCCATCAGACCAACCAGAGAACAATTTATTTAGAAACAAAAGCATTTTCTTGAAATAAAAGGCAAAGTTAAAAAAAAAGTTAGTATCTTGGCACAGTCAGCAGGAGAGTAGGTGGGAATTACGATACTTTTCAAAAGAGAGAACTAACTTTGGAGACAGAGGACCTAGGTTCAAACTGCATTTCTGAAGCTTACTGCTTGTATGACCTTGGGCAAGTCACTTAATCCCTGGACCTCAGTTTCCTTATCTG